TAAAGTCATCCGTGCTGTTGGAGATCCGTTTGGTGTTGGGTGCTGAACAATGTTCCCTCTACGCTGTGGAGTCTTGTGAGCAAAAATTCTACGTCGTGAGCTAGTGGCATTAAAGTTGTGAGCAAGCCATTTGGCTACTGCATAAACTAGTTTGCTCTGGAGCCATCCTTCCTGAGCTAAGACAAAAATGTGTGAGCTGGAGGCTAAAAAACTGTGAGCTAGCTCACACTAACTCAGCTTAGAGGGAACATTGGTGCTGAAGTACCCCTTGGTGTCTGTGGCTGGCCTTGAACTCCTGGATTGCGAGAGAGAAAATCGTGTCTGTTTATTCTCCCCGTGCTGTTTCTAATCATTAACCTCTATCGCTGGGCTCCCACCTTTTGTCTCTTGCTCTCCTGCCAAAAGAGTCCAGACCTCCTGTTGCCTTTCCTTTTCTAGGGGCACACTCCAGCCTCTTGAACGCTCTCTGTGCTTTGCCTTGCGCTGTTTTTTTCCGGCTCACCTGTGTTATCTTGCAGTTCTGCAAACCCTTGCAGATCTTGCAACAGCCCTGCAGTCAGCCAGTGGCAGGCCTGATTTAAGCATGACATTGTCTGAGGCAAAAGAACCCACCTGTGGAACTTCGCCCTTGCCCGCTTTCAGCAAGACGGGCTGGGGTTTCTAGCTCAGGCTCGGGGCCACAGAGTGCCTGCCAGTTGCATGGACTCTTGCAGGGAACATTGAGGGGAGTCTGATCCAGCGAAGCACTTAGAGTTCGTAGCATGGAATCAATTAAGCCGGGTCCCTCATGTGCCCCGACTGTAGGCCCTCATCCTTTACAAATGTTACACACAGGAGGCCATTATTTTATTATATATTTTATTTATACTCACGTTGTTCATAATCTGCCTTTTCCCAGTGAGTCTTAAGGCAGGTCACACCGCACAAGTCAATGCAGTCCACAGGATGGGACGTCCAACTAAGCCGTGTTAATGTTGCAGCTGGCGTCTGGCGACCCCCTCATAGGGTTTTCGGAGGTGGATTTGCCCTTGCCTGCCCCTGCCTAGCAACCCCGGACTTCCTTGGTGGTCTCCCATCCAAGTACCAACCAGGGCCGGCCCTGCTTAGCTTCCCAGAGCAGACAAGCTCAGGCTGGCTTGAGGCATTTGGCTCAGGGCAAGCCAGGTTAACAGGAGGAGGAATTGTAGAACTCTGAGACAAAGCCCAAATATGAATGTGGAATAATTAAATGATGCAGAAATTACATGGCAGGGCAATACACACAGCCACAAATAGCACATAGTGCACTCAGTGGCACAGGCCACACTCACTTTCCCTTTCGTGAAAGCATCTTTCTGAATCATTTTGTGACGGATACGTGCATATATTCTGAAGAGGTGTGCATGCGCACAAGAGCTCACACCCAGAATGAAACTCTGTCGGTCTTAAAGGTGCTGCCGGACTCCGGCTTCGTTGCGTTGCTTCCGACCAGCATGCACACATAGCACATAGTGCACGCAGTGGCACAGGCCACACTCACTTTCCCTTTCGTGAAAGCATCTTTCTGAATCATTTTGTGACGGATACGTGCATATATGCTGAAGAGGTGTGCATGCGCACAAAAGCTCGCACCCAGAATGAAACTCTGTCAGTCTTAAAGGTGCTGCTGGACTCCGGCTTCGTTGCGTTGCTTCCGACCAGCATGGCTGCCCGCCTGACTCCATTTTGTAACAGCGCAGCCGTATTACCTGTATGAAAATGCCCTCCCGCATCATGTGGGTTTGCTGCGTTTTCAGAATGCCGGGAGTGGGGAGTGCGGGAGCCTTCCTGAGTTCCTCGGGCATCCCGTTCCTCGTGTCGGGGGCCACAGCGGAGAAGGCAGGTGTCTGGGGGGTGGTGTTAGGGTGGCACGGGCTCCCACGAAACCTTGGGCTGCGGCGGAGGCCAGGAAGAGGGCAGGTGGGTCCCTGAGTCGTGGCCTGCAAGTCCCAAAGAGCCCTCCTGACGGGTGGGGGGTGTTGGTTGTTGGCTGCCCCCGGCCCACCCTGGGGCCTGACTGGCGTGGCCTTGCTTCTTGCAGGGGGGCTCTTAAGGGAGTGTTGAGGGCCCCCGCAGACATCCAGTCCATCTCTGCGCGCAGGGGCAGGACGCGGCTGCCAGCAGTGGAGTCGGAAGCCACGCACTGGGAACCGTGCCCTGAGTTTAATTAAAAAGCCTCCGCCAGGTACAGGGTGTGGCCCTTTTTTCTAGGGCAGGGGTGGGGTGGGAGGCTGCGGCTCGCGGCTCCCCTTGGACGGGCGTTTGTTAGGGCAGGCCCGGATGGAGCCCAAGAGTCCTGGCGTCTGCTAGCCTCCCTGGGACCTGTTCTCGGCTCCTCCGCAGCCCAAGCCTCCCACATCTGGGATGGATTTAGACAGGAATGAGTGAGAGTTGATGTGTGGGGGGAGTGGGAGGCCTTGGAGTGGGTGATGGCGGGTGGGTGGGGGAACTGAAATAGACCCGGCCAGGCAGGCAGCTGGAAATGGGGGCTGGTGGGGAGGGGCAGCTGGGTCCTCCTGTGCTCCCCAGAAGCGGGAAGGGGCCGCGTGTCCCAGGATGAAAACCGCTGCCGGGGCAAGGCAGACTCTCCCAAACTAATGACTTTCCCCGATGATCACCTTTCCTCCCTCTGCCTCTCCAGCCCTCATTACCGGGCCTTCCCCGTTGACACCCCCATCCCCCACCCCCACATCCCCCACTCCTGATGGGAAGTCTTTTTGTGCTTTCTTTTCTTTCCGCTTCATCTTGTCTGGGCTGTCACTTGGGCAGAGGGACAGCCGGGAGTAGTGTGTGGGGGCCTCCCACAGGATTGGGGAGTTGAGACCGCTAGTGGGGTTGCCAGCTCCAGGCTGGGAAATTCCTGGAGATTTGAGAGGTGGAGCCGGGGGGCGGTGGCGCCGGTGTTTGGGGAAGGAAAGGACCTCGGTGGGGTGTAACGCCCTAGATCCCACCCTCCAAAGCAGCCATTTGCTCCAAGGGAACTGATCTCTGTAGTTTTTTTAAATTAATTTTTAAAATTTATTTAATGTATACCTCGCCCTCCCCGCAGAGCAGGCTTGGGGCGGCTTGCACAATTTAATACATCAATAATAGTTAAAATCCACATAGAATCATCTAAAAACAGTTCGGTTAAGCAATTCGGTATCGTAAAGTGCTGGCGATAATTAATTATTGCTTAACGATGGCGTACTGTGTGAGTGCGTGCAAGGTCGAATGGAGTGTTCTGCTCCACGATCTTCCTGATACGAGCGGCGGCGCAGGCGAAGCCAAGGGCCAGGGCTCTATGATTGGCCTGGAGGTCAGCTGTCATTCTGGGAGATCGCCTGGAGGTTGGCAATTCTGGCCGCTGGCGGTTTGCCACGCATCCCAGCCAGGGCAGAGCAGGGGAGGCGGGTGGCACAGGCAGCCCAGGGGGTTTTTAAGGGCTGACAGCTGCCTCTCACCAGTTTGGCGCATGAAACCTTGCAAACAGACGGTTTGGTGGTGTCATTTTCAACAACCACCCTGCCGAGTAGGCCTCTCTTTGCCCCAGCGGCCCATGCAGTTGCCTGGCTTGAGAAAGAGACACACAGAGCAGCTGGGCAGGCCTGTTGTGCCCCCTGCCCCCCATGGGGTGGCAGCCCCCTTGTGGTGCCTCAGTCTCTGGAGGGCCGCCTCTTTGGGGAATCCCTTTGGGGAGCTCTGGCTCCCAGAATCCTTTGCTGAAACTCACTAGACCAGGCTGTGCTCCAACCTGGGATGAGGGGATGGGTTAAAAACAAGGGTCCTTTTGTTTTGCACTGACCTCGCCCGCCAAAGAAGGGTGGTTTCGTGTATCACTCATGCCATCGCGTACCAGGAAGGGGGGGCGGCTTTCAAAAAGGGGTGCTGGTAGAAGGGGGGGGGGGGGGAACAGTCTGGAGGCAGGGATGTGACCGGTGTGCCGTGCCTGGATGGAGCAGTATCAGTGAGATTGCGGGAGTTGGTTTCCTGGCCAGGGTGGTGTCCGCTGTTTGGGGAAATGACGCGAGTCCGGCTTTTATAAATATTTCGCCACCAGCCTCCCACCTTTGACCCTCCGGGAGCCGTTCGCATCCCAGAGTTGCACGCTGTAGAGGTGACCAGCCCCCAGGAGTTTAAACAGAGTGGGTGGCGGCGGGGTGGGCAGTGGGGTGAAGGGACTGGTGTGGGGCCCACCTGGCCGCCGAGGTGGGAGTCCCGAAGTCTGCTCAGTTTGCTTACATTGGAAGGAATGACTCCACATACACGATAAGGGAGATGTCAGTGACTTTTCTCTGCACGGGGAGCGTTTATAGTTTCCGGGGGGGCTTTGTGGCAAAGTCAGTGCTTCATAGGCAGATCCAGGGGGGGTGTCAGGGGGGGCAACCGGTTGGACCCCCTGAAGGGCTCCCAGGGCTCTCAAGGCTGCAGAGCCCACAAATCCCCCACTTCTTTCTCCCTTTGCTTTAAAGCCAGTGGTGTTATGGCAGCCCCGTAGCTAGGGGATTTTTTGGGAGGGGGCCTCGGGGGGCCTGCCTGCTAATTAAATGAAAGTACAGTGCAGGGGGTAAGTCAGAGCACTTTGGGGGCAGCCCAGGGGAGGGGCCCAGAAGAAACACTAGGGGGCCGGGCCCTGTGGGTCCCATGTTAGCTACGGGCCAGGGTTCAAGTAGGATTGAATCCCCACTCTGGCATGCAGGTTTAGGTTGAGGGCATGTGGCTGACCCAGTCCGCTTCACAGGGTTGTTGTGAGGAGAAAATGACGGAGAGGAGGATGGGGTAAGCCACTGTGGGTTTCCTTTAGGGTGAAAGGCAGGATAGAAATTTAGATTAAGCCGTACTGAGTGGTGCTTAAAATCCATCCTAAGAGCTTGGAGGAGGGGACACACATTGTTTGGTGGTAGTCCATCCTGCCCTGGACCTCCCTCCCAGAATTTTGGGGGCCCCCCACCAATCACTCACCCATCGTTTCCCCCTCTGTGCTCATCTTGGCCTGTTCGAAGGGACCCTGGCCTTGCTTTCTTGCCCTGACCTCTTGACCGGCCCCGGCTTTCCCGTCTGTCTTTCAGAGAGCCTCATGAACACCAAGCTGGAGACGGCTGATCTGCAGTGGACGACGTACCCACCTGTGGACGGCCAGGTGAGGGGTCAGTCAGTCCCTTGGGGGGCCCCGCCTGTAATGATTTCATGTTTTGGTGTGTGTGTTTCTTTAAATGTTTAGTGTGACTGCAGTAATGTAAGGAGAGTGATTGAGGGAGACAAGTGTGATGTGATTGGCTGATGACTGAGAGTGTGGGAGGAGAGAGGTCTCTGAGGGGATTCTGTGTGTGAAGTTTGGAGAGCATAGTCTGTGTGACTATGGGAGTCTGAGTCTATTCTGTGTGAATAAGACAAAGAGTTTAGCCTGTGTGGCTATATAGATGAGAGAGAAAGATTAGACTGAGTATCTAAGCCTGTCAGAGTGGAGTTTTGGAGTTTGAAAGACGGTTTGTGACGCCAAGCTTTGCTAGTTATATTTACAAGTTCCTTTCTTCAGCAACAGTTCAAAATAACCAGAAACCTATTTTGTTCTTGATTAAATAAAACATTTTTTGTTTAAACTTATCCCAGCAATCAGAATAGTCCTTCCTCAGGGCCACATAGTCCTCTGAAGCACCCAGGCACTAGGTCATTCTACCAAAATAGAGAGATTTGGAATATTTTATTCCTGGTGGCAGCAGAAACCTACCAAGTTCAAGTACACAGTGTGTGTTTTAAAGGAGAAACAGTCTCCCCAATAAGCGCGGACAACACACTGCCTTCTTATGGGGGGCGGGGGCTTGGTGCACCTGGAAGGCTGTAGGCCAATATTTCCTGGGTCTTTTAAGCAGGGAGAATCAGAACGGTTTTATTTATGATAGGAGAAAAAAATGGTGTCTAGCTATATATAGAAAGAAAAAGATAAGAAACCAAGGAAGACTAGCGAGTCTCATTTCGGGGGAGAGAAAAGGAAAGGGAGGTCTTCCAGATACCATTTGTGTAAAAAATTGCAGTGGATAATAAATTTTGTAATGAAGACAAGAATGCCTCTGGGCATGTGCAGAATGCTGTCCCGCCATATGGAGTGGAGTGCCGCCTGCTCACCACAGCGTGCATTTCAGGGCATGTTTTCCAGGGAAGTGAGGCACTGCTTGCTGGCAGACTTCACCACCCCAGCCCCCATTTCAGAAATTAACCCATGGGAGTAACTTGCGTAGGAAGAAATTCAGAGCAGACTCTGTGGAGCAGGCTTCTGGATGTTGTTCACAAACCCTTTCCATGGGAGGAAAAACTGCAGTTTGCAGAAGTGGGACGTAGGAGTAGCATTGGCTCGCAGCCATGATAGCCATATAGAACCTCCATGTTAAGGGGCAGTATACCTTGGAGTATCAGTTTTGGTGGGGGGCACAGCAGCGACAGGCTTCTGACCTCACGCCCAACTTGCAAGGCCTCAGAGTAATTGTTCTGTTAGAGTGCTGGCCTGATCCAACCAACCAGCCTCCCCGGGCTGCTGCTCCCCTCTTTCGTCTGTTGGGGTGTGAGGGGGGGGGGAGAAGTGAGTGGTGCTTCCTTTCTGGGCCTTCTGCATCCAGCATCGACAATCCCTCCCCCTCTCGTCCCCGGCAGTGGGAAGAGCTGAGCGGGATGGATGAGGAACAGAACAGCGTCCGGACGTTTGAGGTGTGCGCCGTCCACCGCCCCAACCAGAACAACTGGCTCCGGACCACCTTCGTCCCCCGTTCGGGCGCCACCCACGTCTACGCGGAGCTCCGCTTCACGGTGGTGGAGTGCTTCTCCATCCCGCGGGTGACTCGCTCTTGCAAGGAGACGTTCAACGTCTTCTTCTACGAAGCCGACGCCGACGTGGCCACGGACACTTTCCCCGCCTGGATGGAGAACCCGTACGTCAAGGTGGACACGGTGGCGGCGGAGCACCTCACGAGGAAGCGGGCCGGGATGGAGGCCTCTGGGAAAGTGAACGTGAAGACCCTCAAGATCGGGCCTCTCTCCAGGGCGGGGTTCTACCTGGCTTTCCAGGACCAAGGGGCCTGCATGGCGCTCCTCTCCGTCCGCCTCTTCTACAAGAAGTGCCCCTCCGTCACCGTCAACTTCACCGTCTTCCAAGAGACGGTGCCCAAGGAGCTGGTCATGCCCGTCGCAGGTCGGTGCGTGGCCAACGCCGTCAAGACCAGCTCCCGGCCCCTCAGCATGTACTGCCGGGAGGACGGGCAGTGGGCCGAACAGACCGTCACCGACTGCGCTTGCGCCGCAGGCCACGAGCCCTCCGAGGAGAACACCAAATGCCGGGGTGAGAAGGGAGTGGATCTGGGGGGGAGGCGGAGGGGGTTGGAGGGGGCAGAACTGCAGGATTTTCTGGGCCTGGTGTAGGGCGAAGAGGGTCCTTCGGGGCAACTGGAGGTTCGGATCCCTGGATTCGTAGGGGAAAGTTCAGGTTTCCACTGGGAGGCAGGAGCGGTGGAGATCTCGGAAGGGTTGTGATACCTCTGATAGCTGAAATTGGGTGCTGGAGAACTGAGAAACAGGAAGGTGGTTTCAGAGGGTAGCTGGGTTGGTCTGCAGTAGAGCAGAAGAAGAAGAAGAAGAAGAAGAAGAGATTGGATTTATACCCCGCCCTTCACTACCCGAAGGAGTCTCAGAGCGGCTGACAAACTCCTTTCCCTTCCCCTCTCCACAACAGACACCCTGTGAGGTGGGTGGGGCTGAGAGAGCTCTTGACAGAAACTGCTCTTTTTCAAGAACAGCTCTTATTAGAACTACGGCTTACCCAAGGCCATCCAGCCAGGTGCAAGTGGAGGAGTGGGGAATCAAACCCGGTTCTCCCAGATTAGAGTCCGCACACTTAACCACTACACCAAACTGGCAGGCAGATTTGGGTCCGGGGGGTGGGGGTGGGGGGTTTGCGCTTCGAGGCCAACAAGGTTTTCAGTTCTTTGAGCCTCTGAGAGTCTGAGGCAATGAGCTCGGGAGCTCATGCCACAAAAACTGTTTTTGGCCTCTAAGCTGCTGCTGGACTCGAACCCAGCTAAGGAACTGGGAGTTTCTTATGGGAGGCAACCAGCGCGAGCTCCTGGCACTGAAGTTGAGAGCCGGCGATTTGGCCGCTGCATAAATTAGTGTGTTCTGGCGCCCCATCCCCTTCCTGAGCTGAGACACAAATGTGTGAGCCGGAGGCTAAAAAACTGTGAGCTGGCTCACACTCACTCAGCTTAGAGGGAGCACTGAAGGGAACCAGGAGACATTTGGAGGGTAAATTTTCGGAAGGCCTGGGGAACAGTGGGGAAGTCAGTGCCCCGGGGGAAGGTGGGATTGGGCTTGGGAAACAGAATTTCCCTGGGCGGGAAGGAGAAGGCACGGAACCACAGAACTCCTGGGTTAAAGTGCAGCCTCGTGCAGTTAGAGGGACAGAAGTAGCAACCGAACCCTGGGCTTGTCTTCCAGGGCCCCGCGGGGGTGGTGGTGGAAGGCGGCAGGGCCCCTGTGTTTGGGGGGATGGGGTGCCCGGCTTCTCCGGGGGGTGGGAGCAAAGCTCTCGGGAGCCAAGACTCCTGCCCCTGATGGACAGAGCGGAAGAAAGGGGGCAGGAAGTGGGTTAACCTTTTGTGAATACGAGGCCCGGCCTGCTGGCTGGCCCAACAAGTCTCTCCCCCAGGCCCCCACGCCACAGGAAAGGGGGCTCCCCTCGCCCCCCCCGGGGGGGGGGGGGGGGTGTGGCCCGCAGCTGCTCTCTATCTCTGTCCTTCTCTCTTCTCCGGACAGGCAGCGGCTGGGAGAAGGGGGCTTTGAACTCTTAGCTGGCTGTTCCTGGCTTGGAAGCCAGAGGAATGCCAGATATTTGTGGGTCAAGAGTAGTTGGAGAGCAGCGCATCGGTGGTGGTGGGGAACATCTCTAAACAAGGCCGCTGGCGTGGGGTGCGAGCTGGGGGGGTTGCGGTCTCTGCTGGCCGACAGTGGGGTGGGAGGGGGCAGTGTCGGGCGTGTCTGTGGTGACCCCCACTCCCTTCCTTGCCGTGGCATGCCTTTCTGAAAGTGTTAAGAAACCAACTGGGGCGAATTCTTGGGTGGAGATAGTTTCACAGGCTAGCTGTGTTGGTTCGCAGTAGAACAGCGAGATCTGAATCCAGGAGCACCTTTGAGACCAGCCAGGTTTTGGGGGTATCGGCTTTTGAGAGTCGAAGAAAGCTCATGGCCCCAAAAGCTGGCTGGTCTCTAAGGTACTGCGGGACTCGAATCGAGCTCTTCCACAGCCAGCCAACACAGCTACCCTCGGAAACTTCATGGAGGGCAAACAGTTCATCCTCTGGGGGTTTGCGGTTGGGGGTGTGTGGGTGCAGCTGCGCTGCCCCCATATCTCTCCACATGTTCTTTCTGCAGAGAAATGTGTCCTTCATTTCCCCCTCCCGCCACCAAGGAGCCCCAAGCCCAGAGATGCCGTGGGAAGGCCCTCTTCAAGTCCAGATCCTTTGTAGGGGGGCAGGGATCCTCACTACTCTGACAGACCCAGGCAGTGGAACCCGGGGAAGTCTCGGTGGAGGGGATCGTGGGTGCTTTCCTTGGGAGGGTGGGTGTGCATATGCTCCCCTGGGAAGTGGAGTCCCTCCTCTTGTTCCTGGCTCGCTTTCTGTTCAGTGTAGTGGTTAAGTGTGCAGACTCTAATCTGGGGGGACCGGGTTTGATTCTCCACTCCTCCACTTGCAGCTGCTGATGTGACCTTGGGCAAGCCACAGTTCTCTCGGAGCTGTTCTCTCAAGGATAGTTCTCGAAAGAGCTCTCTCAGCCCCACCTACTTCACAGGGTGTCTGTTGTGGGGAGGGGAAGGGAAAGGAGTTTGTAAACCACTCTGAGTGAAGGGCGGGGTATAAATCCAATCTCCTCCTCCTCCTCCTCTTCTTCTTCTTCTTCCAATCTCCTCCTCTTCCTCTTCTTCTTCCAATCTTCTCCTCCTCCTCTTCCTCTTCTTCTTCTTCTGTTGCCCCTGGAAGCAAGGGCCTTTTAGATGTGTCCTTCAAGGGCTGGTTTTTGCCTCGAGGACGCTGCCTGCTGCCGTCTGCGTCTGTCAGGGAAGGCTGGCCGTAGAGAGAGGGGTGTTCGCACCAGCCACTCAAGACATTCACCGTTTTTCTCCTCCCCCCCCCCCGCAGCCTGCGCCCCTGGCTCCTTCAAGGCCTCGCAAGGCGAGGGGTCTTGCTTGCCGTGCCCCTCCTACAGCAACTCCCACCTGCCTGGCTCGAGCGAGTGTTCCTGCCGCGTCGGGTTCTTCCGGCCCCCAGATGATCCCCCGTCGAAGCCCTGCACGAGTGAGTCCGTCCTTTGCGGCAGGGGTCCCGGCAAACGTGGTGATCGGGGGGGGCTATCAAGGGCAGGCCTCCCCAAGGTAACCTCCGCCTCTCTCCCCCGCGCAGCCACGCCATCCGCGCCCCGCAGCATCGAGGCCAGGATTAACGGCTCGGTAGCAGTGCTGGAGTGGAGCGAACCCTTGGAGAACGGCGGTCGCGACGATGTGGCTTACAACGTCCTCTGCTCGGAGTGCCTGGAAAGGCAGTCCTGCCGCCTCTGCTCCCGCCTGGCTTACGCCCCTCGGGCCAGGGGGATAGTGGACCGTACCGTCACCGTCGAGGGGCTTCAGCCATACGTGACGTACTCCTTCCAGATCCAGGCCGTCAACGGGGTCTCGGACATGAGCCACAACCCGCCCCAGGTGGAATCCATCAACATCACCACCAATAAGGATGGTAGGTTGGGCCTTAAAATAGACAAGCATTTAGCATCGGGCTGGGGCCTAGCTGGGTTGGGTTCAGATCCCTGTTCTGCCATGCGGATCGCAGGATAACCTTTGGCCAGGCACGCTCACCCAGTGTCCTACCTTGTAAGGCTGTTGCGAGGAGAGGGTGGACAAAAATATGATGGATTAGAATCATACCTGGGCCAAACTGTTGTTCAGCCAGTAGCCTTTGGGGGTCTGGCTGTCTGAGGCCCTGGGTTCTAGCAGCTTAGTTTAAACAAAGTAAACGGGGGTGGCTGTGGAATCCTGTGAGCAAAAATTCTACTGGCACTAAAGTTGTGAGCGAGCCATTTGGCTGCTGCAGAAATTAGTTTGCTCTGGAGCCCCATCCTTCCTGAGCTGAGACAAAAACGTGTGAGCCGGAGGCTAAAAAACTGTGAGCTGGCTCACACTAAATCAGCTTAGAGGGAGCACTGGTGGCAATCCAGGACAGAGTGTGCTCCCCCGTGGTGAAAGAAGGATGGCGCTCAGCCCCCCCCCCTTCCTCGCTGCCGCCGGTCTTGTTTTCAGTGCCATCAGTCAATCCTGGAGTTTCAGGAAAGAGGGAGAGTGTGCCTCAGAGCATGCGCTAAGTACCTTTGTCTCCTTGCTCAACGTGACTGTGGCTTCTCCTTCCTTGGGGCTGCTGGAACCAAGATCCCTCTTCTTCTTTAGAAATAAAAAATCAGGTCTCTCTCTCTCTCTCAAAAAAAAAAAAAAAACCCGAGAGAGAGCACAAACAAAGAAGGAACAGTGAGACAATAAATGTCCAGTGAAATATAATGCAGAAGACTCTTATTTTTCCACTCTCATGACTGGGAAGAGCTCAAATTGGCCAGGCACCCTGGCTCCTCTGGAGCAGCTGGAACTGCTGCTGCCTGCCTCGGGGAGGGGCCGTGGCTCAGTGGAAGAGCCTCTGCTTGCTTGACACGCGGAGGAGCCCAGGTCCAGTCGCTGCCTTCTCCAGCTGAAAGGACCAGGCGGGATGGGAAAGACCTCCAGCTCAGACTGTGGAGAGCCACTGCCCGCCGGAGTCGACAAGTCTGACCTTGATGGTCTGATTCAGGAGAAGGCAGCTTCCGGTGTGTCCGTAGGCATGTATACTTTGTTAGATTCCTCAAGCCGCCTTAGCCTAGCGGCGGCACCGTGTCTCCACAACAGAGCCCCTGCGTGGCCTGCCGAAGGGCCCAGCTTCACTCCCCGATCCCCCCCCAGTGAAAGGAGTCCTAGTTGCCAGTGCCGGGAAAGGCCCTGAGAGCTCTGAGCACTGCAGTTAGGCCGAGGAGACTCGGTGTGAGGCAGATCTGTGTGTCCATCTCCACCCTCAAGAGGTCATTCTCTGGTGATCGGTAAATCAGGGGGAAAGGCAAGGGACAAACGTTTCAGTGCATAAATCATTTACAAGGACCTTCTAGTTGAAGGATCAAGGAGTAGCGGTTCCAGCCGTTCTGGAACCGGGGGGGGGGGGCGGGCCCACTTTGCGGCTCCTCCAGTGCCGGGAACGGAGCCCAGTTTGGGGGGGGGGGGGATGCTTTTTACGCCGTCTTCATCAGCCCCGTCACGCGAGCTGGGGCTCACATGTCCATCCTCTCCTCCCCAGTGCCCCAGCCTGTTTCGGAGATCCAGCCGACAACCGTCACGCCCACCGGGATGACCTTGGCGTGGCCCCCTGTCCAGCCTCCAACGGGGAACATCTTGGATTACGAGGTCAAGTATTACGAGAAGGTGAGCGGAAAGGGGCGAGGGACTCCTCTTAACTCTGCAGCGGCTTTTCGTCTCCCCTTCGTCCTGGTAGACAGACAGGTAGATGGCGGGGCTGGGATTCGCTGGAGAATGTGGTTTCTAGTCCTCGTGGAAACAAGGTGGAGTCTGGGGGCACCGTGAAGATGGAGCCATTTGCTGCGGCAGAAATGTTGTGGGCTCGAGCGGCCTTCGCATTACGTAGCCAGTTTGGTGTAGTGGTTAAGTGCGCGGACTCTAATCTGGGAGAACCGGGTTTGATTCCCCATGCCTCCACTTGCACCTGCTGGATGACCTTGGGCAAGCAGTAGTTCTGATACGAGCTTGAAAAAGAGCAGTTTCTGTCAGAGCTCTCTCGGCCCCACCGACCTCACAGGGGGTGTCTGTTGTGGGGAGGGGAAGGGAAAGGAGTTTGTCAGCCGCTCTGAGACACCTTTGGGTAGTGAAGGGGGGGGGGATAAATCCAATCTCTTTTTCTCTTCTTTTCTACTCTCCATTAGCTGCAGGGAGTGGGGTGGGCAGGATACAGCAATGGGGTCAGAAGTCAACCACCGTGTGTGTTTTTTATTTAAACTGTTATGTTGGCTACCCTGGACTAGATGGACCCGTGGTCTGATCCAGCAGGGCTCTTCTTATGTTCTTGTGTTCATCAAAAACCCAGCAACTCAACCCACAACCATTTAAACATTGGTAAAAGCAGGAGATGCAAATAAAGGCAGACGGTCGTTTTGTGGACCTGGCCGAGTGGGCTTTGAACCACGGAGCTTTCTGCCACAGTAAACCTGCCTTGCTCTACAGGGTAATCCGGGGTACTGCTTCCATTTGGTCAAGAGACTCTTGGTTTTGCCTGCCGTGGATTCTCAGTTCCTGAGCTGCTCTGGCAGATCTGACTGAAATGTGATGTTGGCTGAGGCAAAACCTCCCTGTGGGATTCTGCAGGCGCCACGAGGGCTCTTGTGCGCAGGCAGCAACACGGACGCCACGTGAGCGCAGGGGGCTTTTGCCTTGGCCAACCACAGCACGTTAAATCCAGTTTTAGCTTTCCGATTGGAACCAGGCAGGGTGACAGTAATTATTATGGGCTAATTAATTGGGATTAACTAACAAATTTGCCCTGATTTGGGATGGCCCATGCTCGCCCGATCGCATCAAATCTTGGCCCTGGTTAATCCTTGGATGGGAGGCCACCAAAGAAGTCCAGGGTTGCTATGCAGAGGCAGGCAAGGGCCTCCCTCCTCTGAACATCTCTTGCCCCGAAAACCCAACAGGGCCACCATAAATTGGCTGTGACTTGACAGGGCTTTACATGCACGGCAGAGATTAATTAATGAATCAGTTAGCAGAGAATGATCTTGCCTGGAAGTCTGAGCTGGGTGGTAAGGGGAGAGGTTGATACGGGGTTATTCGTCTTACTCTAGAACTCTGAAACGATAGCAAACTCGGGCTAGAAGAAACCCATTTGGGCCATTCCCACGGGCCCGTCTCCTGCTAGCAAGCGAGAGTGGCTCGGTTGAGCAACCGATGTGCTCCCCGGGGCGGCTGTTGGGGCGGCTTGGCTCTCGACCTGGAGGAGAAGAGGCAGAGTGCAAAGCTGCACGTGCTCAGTGGGGGGCTTCTGTGGACAGCCCCCCACCCTCAGTGCCCCGCAACCCGCCCAGTGTAAAGAGGAAGGCTGACATGCGGAGCAGTGGTGGCGGTATGGGCTGAGCGGTTGCCATTCAAAGCCAGTTTTGCAGGTGCACGAAAGGGCTTCTTCGGGCCCCTGTAGCAAAGGCAGTGGGGACGTGCGTGTGATCCTTGGCTTTTTATTCTTGGTGTGGCGAATCGAAGCAGGATGTCACCCTTCCTCCTCCTCCTTCTCCTCCTCCAGGGTGTCGGGGGCCCCATGTTTGTGAAGACCTCCGAGAACCGAGTGACTCTGAGCGGCTTGCGCCGGGGGGCCATGTATGGCGTCCAGGTCCGTGCCCGCTCCGAGGCAGGCTACGGCGGCTTTGGGCCAGAGAGGGCCTTCCAGACGCAAGGGGCCGGTGAGTAGGAAGTCCCCTGGGCGGGCCATGGAGAACGTTCCCGTTTCGCCCACCCTTTGGTGGGCACTGTCAGGGAAGGCAGGAGTGACAGAAGCGCTGCATGTGTGGGCTCGGCCGCAGCGGCAGCCGCTTTTTGGTGTGGCTGCTTTCCGTTGCATACTTCTGGATTCTAGCACGTTCCCGGCATTGAGGCCAGGCGCTGCCGTGTCACGGGGGCTGGGCCTGCATCCAGCTCTTCTGGCCAGGCTCACCCCTCTCTTCCCCCCCACCCCACCCCCGGTTTGTTGGCAGTCGGGGCCTTCACAGACAGACCGTCCGTTTGCTGGGCACTCGGGCCAAACCGGCCGCCTTCCCCCAACTTAGGCTGGTTCGTTGTGAGTAGAGAAAGCTCTGAAGAACCCCAAGGCAAAACTGGCCATTTGTCAGGAGGGAGTGTGACAAGATTTCAGGCTTACGAACAGATAACGTGAAACAGAATTCTCAAAAAGTGTTTTTAAAAAAACATTTCTAGCTAAATAATGCATGTACCGAAAACGTTCGAAGATGCAGGAGGGGGAAAGTAGTCTTCCTTGCCTTTCATCCCCCTTGCTGACAGGGGGAAGGCGTTTCGTGAGACATGTCCCTGGCCTCTCTGTTGACTTGAGTGGATGGCCCTGTTCCTAGCTTGTTGGTCTCTTTTGAGCTTAAAAGGAATATGCAAAATAGACCTGTCCCAGGCAGGAACAGGCAGATTAAAAGAAAGGAAAAGCTTTTGGAGAAGAAGCGCAGACATTTCTCTGCTCACCTGTCTTGTGGAAGAGAGTCATTTGGAAGAGAGGCGGGTTCGAGTTCAGCAGCACCACAAAGACCAGTGAGGTTTTCAGGGGATGAACTTTTGAAAGTCAAAGCTCCCTTCAGCAGATACAAGAGGGGAGTCCTAGAAGGAATTCACCTGAATGCATTAACCAATGATTGTTGGTACATAGGCTTCACTTTCCCAGGCTTTCTTTCCATCGGCTTTCTACCAGGTTCCCTTCCAGGTCAGTCTAAACAATAGCACGCAAGGCAAGCACACTTAACCCTATAATGACTGAATTTAGACCTTGCAACACACATATTTCCAACATGACCTTGGGGGAGTCACAGTTTTCCTCAGAGCTGTTCTCTCACAAGCAGTTCTCTCAGAGCTCTCTCAGCCCCACCCACCTCCCAGGGTGTCTGTTGTGGGGAGGGGAAGGGAAAGGCGATTGTAAGCTGCTCTGAGACTCCTCTTCTTCTACTACCCTGAAAATCTCTCAAAAACTCAGTCCCCTCTTGTTGGACGAAGGGAGTTTTGACTCTTGACGGCTTAAACCCTGAAAATCCAGTCGGTCTCTGGACTCTGACCTGGCTGTCCTACCGCAGGCCGAGATGGCTGCCCTGTGAAACTCTCTTCATTTGGAAGACAGTTCTCTGGGAAGAACAAGGCAGGGAGTGGCTGGTTTCTCCGGCCCCTGTTTCCTGTTTCCTCCCCATTCCGGCCCTTGGCGTCAGTCCTCACCAGGGTCCAGCCCCGTCCCTGCCCGTCATGCCATGTGCTTTTCTCACCCCCTGCAGAGTCGGAAAGCCCCACGGAACAGCTGGCCCTCATTGTCGGCACTGTGGCCTTGGGGGTTCTCCTGGTCCTCGCCGTGGTCGTCGTGGCCATTGTCTGCCTCCGGTGAGATGGCGCCTCCCAAGCGGAGGGTCGGGGAGAAGTTTAGCCTACGGGGGGGGGGGGCTGAGCTCAGGGCTGGAGGTGGGAAGAAGAATGGCGTGGGCTGAGATGGCAGGGGACTTCCCGGGGGGGGGGGTTAATAACAGCAAGAGAGGAAAGGATGAAAATACCCGAGGAAGAGTGCAGCGAGGATAAAATGGCGGCAGGAGGAGGGGAGTGGTTTTGCAGGATGTGGGAGGGGCTAAGGGGATTGGGAATCTGTGTGGGTGTGGCTAAAGTATGGGCGTGGCTAAGCAGGGCAGTGGGAGGAGCTAAAAAGGGACCCACTGGCTCCAGTGTCATCCTTTCTTCCTTTTTGCAGGCGCCAAACTTCTTCTGGGTCCCGGGAGCCGGAATACTCAGATAAGCCCGGGCAGTACCTGATTGGGCACGGTGAGTGTGTGGGGTTGGACGAGGCTGTGATGAAAGCGCCTCTGGGGAATGTGGGGGGGGCCAGCAAGGGGGCAGTCTTTGTCGATGTGGCCGGGGGTTCCCTCAGGGTTCACCAGGCAGCAGATGGGCTGGAAGGATCCCGCGTCTTATTTATTTATTTAGATTTATATACCGCTAGGGCTGCCAAGTGGGGGTGGGGGGCGGGTAAACCCCCGCTTTGGAGGCCCGATTTCCGCCACCGCGGAATTGGGCCCCGGGGAGAACTCCACCCCCCGAAGTGCAGCGTGGCTGCATCACTAGAGGTGACGCAACCACGTCGATCACATTGGGGGCGTGGTTGACGTCGTGCATCACTTCTGGAGATGTGCTGGCGGCGCGTGTGCGCGCATCCTGGGACGGCTCCCAGAGCCCGGCGAGACTCCCCCGCCGGTGAGTTTTTTTGACTTGGCAACCCTATATACCGCCCTCCCCAATGGGCCTCAGGGCGGTGTACAACAATTAAATATACAATTAAAGCAATATTAAAATAGCAATTTACACATAAAATCATAAAATACCGTATAATTATAGAAGTTGTCAGATGACTAGTCAGAACAGGCCAGATTGGCCTGGAAAAACTGGGCAGAAAACGTTAGGGCCAGAAAAGCTGGAGGGAGGGAGAGGGGGAATGTCCTCTGCCTCCACCAAATGCCCGGCGGAAGAGCTCCGTCTTGCAGGCCCTGCGGAACGGCAGTAAGTCCGACAGGGCCCTGATCTCACACGGAAGCTGATTCCACCAGGCAGGGACCTGAGCTGAAAAAGCCCTGGCCCTGGTCGAGGCTAGCCAGACGTCCCTGGGGCCGGGGGCCGCTAACAGATGTTGATTTGTGGACCTCAGTGCCCTCCAGAGCTCGGTCTCATAGGTGTGCCGGCCCTTGGCCGTCTTCTCCCGCCTTTAATGGCGCTCTTCCCCTTGGTAGGCACCAAAGTCTACATTGACCCTTTCACCTATGAGGACCCCAACGAAGCCGTGCGCGAATTCGCCAAAGAAATTGATGTCTCGTATGTCAAAATCGAGGAGGTCATCGGTGCAGGTAAGAGTGGATCCCGGCCAGGCCGTCTGCGCCCAAGGCTGTTGCCGCTTATGAGAAACGGGGGAGGGGTGTTGAGCCGTTTATTGGCAGGTGTTATTGATTGCCTGGCTTTCTCACTGAGACTCAGGGCAGGTCACCTGACGGGAGTCACCACAATCGATCAGGTGAGGAGCTAGCTAATAAGCAATGTAATAAGACTAGGATTGCAGGAATTTGGAAGGAGGCATACGTATTGAAATGTGATGTGTTAAACAGAGCAAGGAATGGCGTTGCGTTAGGAGAAATGTAATGCAAAAAGACCAAGGTCAAAACATACATGCCCTCATACCTTCAGGACCGCCTCTCTCAATGTGCCCCAAGAAGAGCGTTACGTTCAGGAAGTAAGAACCTCCTGGTGGTGGTCCCCGGCCTGAGAGAGATCTGGCTGTCCTCGACCAGGGCCAAGGGTTTCTCGGTCCTGGCCCCTCCCTGGGGTGGAACTCTCTGCATGAGAACATCTGAGCCCTGCAGGATTTGTTACCAGTGTTCCCTCTAAGACGAGTCAGTGTGAGCTAGCTCACAGTTTCTTAGCCTCCTCTGGCTCACAGATTTTTGTCTTGGCTCAGGAAGGGATGGCTCCAGAGCAAATTAATTTATGCAGCAGCTAAGTCGCTCGCTCGCAACTTTAATGCCAGTAGCTCACAACGTAGAATTTTTGCTCACAAGACTCCCACTGCTTAGAGGGAGCATTGTTTGTGACCTTTCTGCAGGGCTTGTAAGGCAAGAGGACAATGACAGCATAATTCTGTGATCCGGCACCCTCATACCTCTCTTACCCCCCCCCAAGTTTCCCCCTCCCATCTTTTACAAGTCTCTTCCAGGAGGTCTGCGATTTCCCATACCAGGAATTCTGACTGTTCGCTTGGAACTGATAATTTTTTTAAAATTAAGGACTGTGGTTTTTCTTGTCGGTTTTAATTTTATTTATTTATTTACTTATATATTTATTGTATATCCCTGTTGTAAGCTGTCCTGAGCCCTGCCCGCAGGGGAGGGCGGCCTAGAAATCTAATTAATAAAATAAAAGGTAAAAGGTAAAGGCTCCCTTGCTCGAAAGCCAGTCGAATCCAACTCTAGGGTTGCGGTGCTCATCTCCGTTTCAAAGCCGAAGAGCCAGCGCTGTCCGAAGACGTTTCCGTGGTCATGTGGCCAGCATGACTAAACACCAAGGCGCACGGAACGCTGTTACCTTCCCACCAAAGTGGTACCTATTTATCTACTTGCAATTTCTTGCTTTCGAACTGCTAGGTTGGCAGGAGCTGGAACTAGAGATGGGAGCTCACTCCATCATGCGGCACCCGGGTCTCGAACTGCTGAACTACCGACCTTCCACAGCGTGCAGTTCAGCGTCTTAACCCCTTGAGCCACCGTAGCTCCTAATAAAATAAAAGAAATATAATAAAATAAAATAAATACAGAAACAGATTGTACATATTGGTATTACAGTCCACAGTCCCATTCCCCCTACTGAACTGTCTTCCTGAATCATTCGGTTATAATTCGTTCCTTTATTAGAATGCGCTCTTGAACAACTGTGTTTCACAGCGTTTGTGGAGCGACAGATGCATGGGGGTCTTCCTGACCTCCTTGGGCAGGGGCCATTCCACGGGGCGGGGCCCACCACAGAGAAGGCATGCAGGCCGGCAGCGGTTGGTTTTGAGAACCATGAGGGTAAGAAAGAAGTCTGATAAAGCGCCAGTGTTAAAAACCTAGTTGAAACTTATAGTATACAAAAATGCATGTATTTATTAGAAAGACAGTTAAAAACAAATAAGGGCCCAATGAGAGCCTTGTTAAAAAGTTCAAGTGGCCTGAATGCAAGGGCCAATTACACATGACCTGACGCGTTTCCGCCCTATTGGGGGCCTTCTTCAGAGGTCTAACAGTTTGAGGCACACGTAACAATAACACACATTACAATAAGATAACCAATGAGTGAATACTGGACCAAGAAAAGGAAGGTTAAGCAGCAAGATCAATAGACACAAGACAAAGGTGTTTGTGAGGCCTCTGAAGATGAGAGTCATGTGTCTGGTGCCAAATGCACAGCTGCTGAATTAGAACATCTTCCAATTTTTTGGGCCCTTTTTTGTTTTTAACTGCCTTTCTAATGAATACATGTATTTTTGTATACTATGTTTCAACTAGGTTTTTAATATCGGCCCCTTTATCAGACTTCTTTCTTACCCTCGTGGTTCTTGATTCCAGTTTTTGGGTCAAATTTGTTTTCCCCTCCCCTGGGTCTTACTGCGGTTGGTTTTGTCCATTGGCAGAGTAGCACCCGCAGAGATGAGTGAAGCTGCTATGGCGGAGTGTAAGGGAGAGGCGGTCTCACAGATACAAGGGTCCCAAGCCGTGAAAGGCTTTATGTGTGAAGGCTGGTACCTTGAATTGGACCCAGTATCACCCGTGCCTTCAGTAGGCAGCTAGTCCAAAACGGGCCAGTGAGGAAGCCTCTAGGCCTCGTTCTTTGCATCGTACTTCCAACAGCTGACATAGACAAGGCTCCAGTGGAGAGAGCAGAGTATAAATGTTCAAAATGTGGAATTTAGGACTCTGTGTGTGTGTGTGTGTGTGTGTGTGTGTGTGTGTGTGTGTGTGTATCTTGGCCTGTTCGCCTGATAGCTTTCCCGTCCTTTTTCTCCGGAGGATCACACATTGTGTGGGGCCTGTTGCTGAACTCCCCTCTTGTTGTGGGTCCCCATAATTCCTTGCAAGCCATTGTCGATGGCTCTCCGTTCACAACGCGGGAAACAGCTGCCACAGAGAGAAGGGGAAGTTGTCGGTCCACTCCCCTTCTAAGGGAGAGAAAGGAGTATCTTGTTCGGCATGGGGAAGAAGCTTCCCTTGGGAAGCGCCTGCCCCATCCCTGCGAGGCATAACCCAAGCGAGAGAGACTTATCAGCCAATCTCCAAACTGGTTTAGCTGTCCTGACGGATCCCGGGGAGCTCTTCCCTCCTGGGGCCGAGTTTCTCGGAAGTTGTCTTGCCACAGAGCCGCGATTCCCAGAGCTCTTTGGAAGAAGGTTTTGGCAGTTGAAAGTCATTAAGCTCTCAGCGCAGGCAGTGCCCTCAGAGAAAGGGATCCTGCACTGGAGCTTGGCTGTGCCTCATGTCTGTTTTAAGAACCCCGAGTGCAGGGTGAGGTGTATAGAAATATTGCTTCCTATAAACCCCTTGCCTTTCCCTGAAATGTCTTTCTTATACCTTGTTTCCTGTTGCCAGCCAGATGGCTGACCGTTTGGTCAGAGAGGCTCAATTGCCATGCCATATAACCACACATTCTTCACACCTCTAGTGAGGGAATGCGAGCCGGCCTTGCTCTTCGTTTCAGAGGGTAGCTGGGTTGATATGTTGGGAGAACAGCCAGATCGGAGTCCAGGAGCTCCTTCGAGACCAGCAAGATTTTGGGAGGTGTGTGGGCTGTTTGGTCTCTAAGGTGCCGCGTAGTCCGTTGCGACGCTCAACTGGCCCGGTCTCTTGCAGGTGAGTTTGGGGAGGTCTGCCGCGGCCTCCTGAAAGTGCCGGGGAAGAAAGAGATCTACGTGGCCATCAAGACGCTCAAAGGGGGGTACACGGAGAAGCAGCGCCGCGAGTTCCTCAGCGAGGCCAGCATCATGGGCCAGTTCGACCACCCCAACATCATCCGCCTGGACGGCGTCATCACGAACAGCGTCCCCGTCATGATCATCACGGAGTTCATGGAGAATGGGGCTCTGGACTCGTTCCTCCGGGTAGGGAAATCCCGTCTTGGCAGTAGCGGAACGGGCAGGGGTCGCAAAGACGGGTCTGAGCCAGCGGTCCGCTTGGGCTCTTTGGGCCGCGGGAACTTCTGGGAGGCTCTGCAAGCGTCAGCTTGCGTTCTGCGCAAAGGCCGTGGGGAAAAACCTGTTCCGCATCATCCTTCCCCTCTTTGTGTTCTCTTTGGTTCCCCTTCCATTTCCCGCGCATGTTGTTGCATCAAAACACGGATACCCATGAAGCTGCCCTATACCAAATCGGACTGTCAGTCCATCAAGGTCTGTCTCGTCTACTCAGACAGGCAGTGGCTCTCCAGGGTCTCTGGCCCATCACCTCCTGCCTGATGCGTAACTGGAGAGGCTGGGGACCAGTGTTCCCTCTAAGCTGAGTTAGTGTGAGCCAGCTCACAGTTTTTTAGCCTCCAGCTCACAGATTTTTGCCTTCGCTCAGGAAGGATGTGGCTCCAGAGCAAGCTAAGTTATGCCATAGCCCAATCGCTCGCTCACAACTTTAATGCCAGTAGCTCACAAAGTAGGATTTTTGCTCACAAGACTCCACAGCTTAGAGGGGGCATTGGCTGGCGGTTGATTCTGAGACCTTCTGCATCCAAAGCGGAGGCTCTTCCACTGAGCCACAGCCCCTCCCCACCCTGGAGGAGAAATCCTCCCCTTTTTTTTTCCCTACCAGGGTGGAGCACTCTCTTCTGAATGGAATGGAATCACTGTTAAGCAGCATGTGCTTTGCAAAGGAGGGAGAGGCTTTGGCACCGTCTGGCCACTGGGCTGGCTCCCGGTTCCTTTAAGCCTTACCTGACCGGCTCCTCTCTCACCTGCCTGCAGTCAAACGACGGACAGTTCACACCCATCCAGCTGGTGGGGATGCTGCGGGGGATTGCCTCGGGGATGCGCTACCTGTCCGACATGAGTTACGTGCACCGGGACTTGGCGGCCCGTAACATCCTGGTCAACAGCAACCTGGTCTGTAAAGTGTCGGACTTCGGCCTCTCCCGCTTCCTGGAGGAGAACTCCTCGGACCCCACCTACACCAGCACCCTGGTAGGCAGACCCGCTGCTTCCCCCTGGGTGGAAACCTCGGCCTCCGGTTCGCTCCCCTCCCAACAGGCCGGCGGCTCTGCCAGCTCTTCAAGGGCCCGGCTCAGCAGTGAGTGGAGGCCTGGATCACCTGCCAACCACCTCACCTGGTGCCCACCGAGTGTTTTTAGAGAGTGGGCAGACCCAGGTGGGGCTTTTGCCCGGCAAAGCTTTTGATTGGCCACTGGAGATTTGGTTTGTTGTGCAGATTTTTTTAAAAAGACGTTGCTTTGGCAGCGGCTGCCAGCACAGCACAAGGATCTCCCCTGTGTGACTGAAAGGAAGCCGTGGCAGCCATCTTGCCGTGTCAGAATTCCAAAGGTGCCCACGGGCTCAGAAACGGTGGGGGCCCGCGGTTTAAGCGATCAAAAGGCCGGGCGGTTGGCCAAAGGGCGGAGAGGTCAAAGACAGGACCACCAGGTTCTCTGGGTGGAGGATGGCTCTCAGGATTAAATCAGGATTCGGGGACGGGAAGAAGGGGATGCAGCCATAATGGGGAGAAGCTACGATTCAGGTGTCCGTGGAGGCGGGGGTTATATTGGAAGGGAAAACTGGAGCAGCGGTGAGCCCGGGGGGCGGGGGGGGGGAGGACTCCCAGCTCTGTGGAGAGAGGACGATGGATATAGCCCCGAATGAGTTAGTGTGGATGAACCCAGCGTGGTGGAGAAGAAGGAGAGATTGGATTTATACCCCGTCCTTCACTCGGCGTCTCAGAGCAGCTTACAAACCCCTTTTCCTCCCCCTCCCCACAACAGACACCCTGTGAGGGAGGCGGGGCTGAGAGAGCTCTGACAGAAACTGCTCTTTTCAAGAACAGCTCTGCGAGACCTTGTGACTGACCCAAGGTCACACCAGCAGCTGCATGTGGAGGAGTGGGGAACCAAACCTGGTTCTCCCCGATTAGAGTCCCCGCACTGAACCACCACACCAAACTGTAGTGGTTCGAGGGCTGGACTAGGATCTGGGGAACCCAGGTTCGAATCCCTTCTCTGCCATGGGAACTCCCTCCCTTGGGCCAGCTACAACCCTCTCTGCCTAAGCTACCTCACAGGGTTGTGGTGTGGATAAATAGGAGGTGAGGAGGACAATGGAGGCTGTTTTGGGTCTCCATTGGGGGACAAAGGCGGGATATAAATACATAAAAATCAGGCATAAGCCAGGACTTCTCCGTTGCGGGGGGGGGGGGGCGGAGGGCCTGCCGTCGTGGTTCTGCTGTCTCCCTGACCGATTTCCCCCAATCTCTCCCTCAGGGCGGGAAGATCCCGATCCGATGGACGGCCCCCGAAGCCATCGCCTTCCGCAAGTTCACCTCGGCCAGCGACGTCTGGAGCTACGGCATCGTGATGTGGGAGGTGATGTCGTTCGGAGAGAGGCCGTACTGGGACATGTCCAATCAGGACGTGAGTGAGACCGGCAGATCCTCAGCTGTGGCAGCCCACCCAAAACTATCT